CAGGTTCCTGGAGCAAGCAGCAAAAAAAGCACCAGGAAAGACTTCAGGATAATAAGCGAATCAGACTTGGCATTGTTTGCTGCACTGCTGTGTGATGTCTGACTTCATGGTAGACATTGCGGTCCTGTGCGCCTTGGTCTACATCTGTGCTACAAGCTCATACTTCATTAATTGTGTGCTTTGCAAGTGGCGCTGTGCACAAATACTCATTCTGCAAGGATTGCGTGGGCAGCCGGACAGCTTCAATTGCCATTGGGAAGACACCTGGCAAGTCTACCAACACAGGGACATGAGGAGAGTCAGGGCTCAGTAGGGATGACTAACTGAATGATGACAAGCTTGCCAAGCTGGCACAGTCAGTCTCCCACCTGCCATCAGAGCGTAGTATTACAGTATGATAAGTAAATGTCCAACTGTTTCAGCTTCAGCCATGGCAACAGAGTTTGACGGGAGACGTCAAACTCTGACACCATCGCTCAAACTGAAGCGCTGGACCTGTCTCTGCTTAAATGTCACGGTCTGAAATTTGGGCCTGCGCTGTCCATTCAATTCAGTTCAATGAAGGGCCCTGTCTCAGCTTCAGCCATCATGTTAGCGGCCTTTGGGGCTACCCAAATCCTCTCCATTCTAGCTGAAGCTGAAGCAGTCGTTGGATAGGGGCTTGGGCCATTGGGTCTGCTCCATTTAGGCATTGTGTGTCTGGAAAAGGAGGCGTTTCAGCAAGCAATCAAGGACCCTTAACTTAAGTTCTGTAGCTCACATCCTGTCTGTCTCTGCTTAAATGTCATGGTCTGAAGTTTGGGCCTGCGCTGTCCATTCGATCGCATCGTTGATAATTCGGTGGTGCGCTAGGTCACTCAATGTTCAGTGATTCACCGGCGAACTCAGTGGACAACAGGAACTGGTAAGTCGCCCCTGGGGTGCTAGATGTGTGTGACTTCTTAAGCTCAAACTGTAATGAGCCTGAGTCATGTCATGCCAACTGAACTGAAGTGAATTCTTTTTAATTGTGTAGTTGTGGTCTAAGACGACCTGGAAGGCTTGAAACCAGGTATCAAGACAATTGTTGGTAGCAGCTTCGCACAGCAACAGTTGGCAAATGTCAAAGAGCGCGTGCGTTTAGCTTCAGCTATAAATGGTAGAGGATTTGGGTAGTCCCAGAGGGTGCTAACATTCTGGCTGAAGCTGAGACATGGCCCTTCGTTGAATTTGAATTGAGTGGGCAGAGCAGGCCCAAATTTTCAGACCGTGACACTTAAGCAGAGACAGGTGGTGTCAGAGTTTGACGTCTCACGTCAAACTCTGTTGCCATGGCTGAAGCTGAAAATGTTGGCCTGGGTCCTTCATCGAATGGACAGCGCAGGCCCAAATTTCAGACCATGACATTTAAGCAGAGACAGGCCCATTGCTTTAGCTTCAGCTATAAATGGTGGAGGATTTGGGTAGTATTAAAGAGCCACCACCGCACGCGCTGGGTCGAGGAGTAACGCATCATACTCCTTGACACAGTGCCTGACCGTGAGACTGCAAGACCAGACAAGTCATTATTTCCAAGCCACACGCCCTTGTCAAGGACGCTGCGTTGCAACAAAGCAGGCCAGTTACACTGGCTCAGAGATTTATTGCCATGCCATTGCCCGGTCATGGGAGACGCCTTGGGTCCGAAATGTGACTGGTGCCAAAGTGGTCGGAGTTTTTGACGCGTCAACGACGATGTTTGACGTGTTGAGGGAGGAGCTCGTTCTTAAGAATCGGCTCCTCGCTCAGCACGTCAAACATCGTGTGCGTCAGTTGCACGATGAATCAATCTCGGCGCAAAAACAAGGCGCAGTGTGTTCTGATATAAGAAACAGCAACCAGATAATCAGGCTTTTGCGAGTGATTGCTTGTGACCTGCGAGGGCGAAGCGCACTCGTGACAATGACATGACATTTTCGCCTTTCAACGCCATTTGTTTGCGCTGTGTGTAGGGCTTAGGGGTTGGTAGGGTTTGCGTGCGTGTGCAATAACCAGACAGGCTAGACTAGAGACGCGCGAGGTGGTGCGTTCAGTTCAGTTCTCGTTCTCACATCTCCTCCTGCGCCAGTCAACCCCCTGTGACGATTTCCTTGGCCTTCGCTTGAGTGTAACTTTTTTTGGTAGTTGCCGGCACTCAATCTGGCAATGCGTGGCCAGATCCCAGCAGATGTGACGGAGGACGGGCTCTGGAAGCTGGCTGCTGCTGGCCGCCCCTGTCCCTGATCAAGCACACTTATCGGTTGTCCACATTCATGAGGAAGTTACTGGAGCGGAAGTGTGACCAGTGGGGCCAGCAGGACAAGCCCGCAGCTGAGTGACGGCGGTACTGACACTACCAGTAATACTGTAACTAGTAGTAGTCTAGTCACTCTGTTGAGTTCCACATGGCGCGAGCCTGTTCCCACTGGTTTCCCATCGCGCGGAGCTGCACAGGCCACAGCCACAATGGCTGCTCAGCGCAATCCGGCAAGGCGTTCTGTGACAGACGATGCGCAAGACTGTGTCACAAGCCAAGTGCCGCTTCACAATTGGAAGCGGATGTGCCTGAGACTTAATTCCATTGTGAAGTGACTGCGTCCCATTGAAGGTAATGAATCAAGCTGCGCGCCCCTTTAGTTGGTCTTATTTTTGTCTTGCTGTAGGCTGCTGCACAAATTTTGCGGCCGGCATGCCCTTTGGCAACACACAAAATCAGGGCTGAGTGCCATGTGTGTTTGCCGGGAAGCTATGTCCTATCATCATTTCTGCAAACTCGTTGCCACCCGGCTGGAAAAAGGACTCACTTCCAAGAATGAACGCCCTCTGGAGGCCAGCTTGTTATGGCTGACCTGGCCAGTTTGGCGAAGCGTTACAGTTACATTTTAAATGATTAGGGGATGCCTGAACGAATTATGTTTTGACTTCTTAACGTAATCAGTTAAAATTATTGGTAGTTATGCAATTGGTATTTCAGAAGTAGTAGTAGCAGTAGTAGTAGTAGTAGTAGTAGTAGTAGTAGTAGGTGCAGTCGCAGTAGTAGTAGTAGTTGTAGTAGTAATAGTTTAGTAGTAGGTTTAGTAGTAATAGTAGTAATAGTAGTAGTAGCAGTAGCAGTAGTAGTAGTAGTAGTAGTAGTACTATTATGTCTTTGTTGTGTGTTGTTTATTGGTATGTATGCACTTTTGATTTACTGCTTCGTTTGCTATTGAATGGTTGGTTGGTTGTGTTTTGCCTGTGTCTGTGTAAGTTTGGTTGTCCGTTACTGTTATTGTATTGCGTTGGTTGTTGCATTGTTGCTCATGTTGTGTTTGTGTTGTTTGTTGTTAGGTTGTCGCTTGTTGTTGTTTGTTGGTTGCTGTTTTTGGCTGTTAATGTTTAATTTTCTGTTGTGTTACTGGTAGCGCATCATTGGGCGCCGTAGCTGGTTGAAACTGATTTGTTGTTGTTTCAATTTTTGACGGTTTTTGTCAGTTTTGTCGGTTTTTTTCTGGGGGGCCTTACGATCTGTTCAGCTACAATCTGTTCCCCAAACTTGTTATAATGACCAAAGCAGTTTTATCCAACTCCTATATCTGTGCAGGCAGTTATTGCTTTACAGTGCCCAGCTAGTGACGCAAACATTGCGTTCATGCATCAATTCTAGCAGTTTGGCAGAAAATGCCTTTTGCACATCGGAGTTCAGCCCTCAGCCGTTCAGCCAATCCGACATGAAGGCGATGGTCTGCGCCAGCCTCAACCCCGAAATCTGCACAGTCAGTTCCAGCGCAAATTGTTTCTTCCCGCTGATGGCCGTTTTATGAGTGTTCACAAACAAGGTCCATGCGCTCTGACAGTCTCTCAGCAGTACTCCTTCCCGCGCAGTCTTGAGCCACGCAGTTGCATGACAGTCCTGACAGTAGCAGTGCACTGCGGGTTCCTTTGAGCTGGCATGATGAGGGTTCCACCTTTGCCCAATTTGGAACTGAGCGCCAAGACACAGCTACTTTACAGTTTTGCGTGTTTGTTTATGTTTGTTTGTTGATTTGACTGGTTGTTTCTTTGTTTCTTTGTTTGTTGGTTGGTTTGCTTGTGCGTCTGCCTGTCTGTTTGTCTGTATGTGTGTGTGTGTGTGTTTGTTTGCTCGCTTGCTTGTTTGTTTCTGTGTTTGTCTGTCTGCCTTGGTGTTTGTGCGTGTGTTGTTTCGCTTGTCTGTCTGTGTGGCCGTCTGTCTCTGTTTGTGTGATTGTTTGGCCGTTTCTTTGGTTGTTTCTTTTTTTCTCGTTTGTCCGTCTGTCTGTCTGTCCGTCTGTCTGTCTCTGTTTGTGTGATTGTTTGGCAGTTTCTTTGGTTGCTTGTTTGTGTCTATGTTTGTGTGCTTGTGTGTGTGTGTCTGTTCGTTCGTTCGTTTGTTTGTTTCTTTGTTTGTTCGTGCGTTCGTGTCTGATTGGTTTGTTTGTGTGTTTGTCTGTCCGTTCGCTCGTTTGCTTGCTTGTTTGTTTGTTGTGTTTGTTTCTTTGGTTGCATGGTTGCTTGTTTGTTTTTTTGTTTGTTTGTTCGCGTGTTTGTTGGTGTGTTTCGTTTGTGATTGTTTGCTTGTTGGCTTGCCTGCTTTTGTGTTGACGTGTTTGCGCGTGTGTTTGTTGTTTGTGTGTTTTGGTTGTTTTATGAACGATTGTTTGCTTGTTTGTTTGTTTGCTTGTTTGGATGTTTTTTGCTTGCTTTCTTGCTTGCTTGCTTGCTTGCGTGATTCTTGTTCGTGAGTCTGTTTGTTTGCTTCCTTGTTTGTGTGTTTGTGCGTTGCTTTGTTTGTGTGTGTGCACTTGCGTGTGTGCTTCTGCGCGCTTCTATCGGTGTGCCTGCGCGTGAAGGTAATTTTTCTGGTTTTTGTTTGTCGGCGGCCTCATTTCTTCGAGGTCCCCTATTTCGACACCCCCCTAAAGTGAGGATTCAGGGAACTTCGGGGTTTCGATCTGTTTCGCTCACAGAAGTCACATCAAACAAGCCTGAAAAACCCGTCACCCTGCCTGTTGGGCCTTCCCGCCGCTCACGCGCTGTTGCGTGACCAGCAGACCGCTGCCGCCTGTCAACGCGCCATCATCCGTATTTTCACCCCAGGATTCACAAACGCAACGACAATGACGTTTGAGCTGCACGGACATGAGTGCGCGAAGCTTTTTAGGAGGCATCCAGCTCCTGTGGAGCTTGCCCCCCTGGGACGCACATTGTTGCTGCTGGCATCCGAATGAGCGCAAAGCCCGTACGCAGGGCAACTCAGCACCTGAATCCTGGAACTCCCTTCGGAGATGGTACGCTGATACACACGACTTCAAGGGAAGCCAAAAATAAATCCACCATTTCCGGGGTCAGAACACACCACAGATGCTGCGCGTGAAAAGCTCAATCTCCCCTGCCTTGGCTGGCTCTTTGGAGACTTAGTCAGGCACCAGCTCTCTTGCGCAAGTGCTACGAGCAAGAGTTGTCCCTGCGCCTGTGGCGTTCAGTTGTTCGTTCAACACACAATACCAATATTCCGGTAACTCAACCAACTCCACCCTTTCTTCTCTTTTGCGGGAGCAAAGCATGTTCAAGCAAGCGTGCCGTTCGAGCTGTTGCCAGCGCTGCGCGAGCCGGCGATGGCTCCCAGAGGCCCCCGTGACTGACCAACGCCAATCTGGGCCGGGAACGCTGCGCCGCACGCGGTCCTACGCCGTTTCTGATAGAATACAATGGTATCTCCTTTTCTTACCCTTGAATATCCTTGAGTTTGCCGTCCAAGCAAACACTCGAATATCTCAAGGCGTCGCAAGCATCACGTCCTCGGGCCCCGGAGAGGCACCTGGCAAAGGGCTGCCCTCAATGCTTGGTTTAGTGCCTGAGACCGCAGCGCCGGCAACAAGGCGCTGACTGGTAGCCTCTTGTCCGATCTCTGGAGACGGGACTTGCTTTGGAACCCGCACGCCTTGCGAAGCCGTCACCGACGAATCTACAAGCCCTCACTGTTCCTCTGCCGGCGGCTCTGGCTGGTCCAGGTTCTCCTTCGAGCTCCCCAAATCAGAAAAACCGAGCAAAATCACATCTGCCAGGCGTTCAGCATAGTGTGTAGCTTCTTTGCTGCAAAACAACTGAACACTAGGTTTAAAACAACATCTGCGCGTTGTGCGTCCGAGCTTGGTTCAGTGCTGCCATTTGGTTGTCAGAACCCCAAAAGTAAGAGCTGGACAAAAGTTCAGCATAGAGCCGGCAAAGCCGGTGGTCGGAAGTTCTAGAAACATAAAAACTCTAGTTCTCTTTTGCTTCGCTGCTCTCTTTCTTTCTTTTCTCTTGTCTTGTGCTTTCTCGTCTGTCTCGAAATTTTTGACTATTTCTTTTCTCCTATATTTCTTTTTTCTTTCTTTTATCTTGTCTTTCTCGTGCTTTTCCCTGTTCCTGTCCTTTCGGTTTCTCCTTCTGTATTTTCTCGTTTCTTTCTCTTTCTCGTTCTCTTTCGTGTCTCTTTGCTCTCTCTTTCGGTCCTCTTGTCTTTCTCTTTCTTTTGTCTTTCACTTTCTCTTCTTTTCTCTGTCTCTTTCTCTTTCTCGTTCTCTTTATTTTTCTCTTTCTCTTTCTTTTCTCTTGTCTTTCTCTTTCTTTTTCGTTTCTCTTTTCTTTCGCTGTGTCTTTCCCTTTCTCGGTCTAATCTCTTGTCTTTCTCTTTTCTTTCTCTTCATTCCCGACAGCATTGCGAAGGGTTCTTCCGGTAAGTCGTTGCGTTCTGTGCAGCTCAACTGCATAGGGGGAAAGTAGATAGTGCAATGCGTAGAGGCATGTGTAGGGAAAGTGCACAGTGAAACGCATAGCAAGTACAGAGTGGAATGCATAGACGCATGCGCAGGGATTGTAGACCGTGAAATGCATAGAGGCATGCGTACGGCAAGTACTGAAGCATGTGCATAGATGCATCCACAGGGAAAGTAGACAATGCGACGAGTAGAGCCACGTGTAACGAAAGTACACAGAGAAATGCGTAGCGATCTTTCTTTCCTGCTCGCACGAGCATAACTCGCACGAGCAGACGCAGCTCCGGCTCCGGCTGCAAGGTCGGAGAGCAGACAAAGAAACGCATACACAGTAAAACGCATAGAGGCATGCGTAGGGCAAGTACAGAGTGAAATGCGCAGAGGCACGCGCTGGGAAAGTAGACAGTGACATGCGCAGGGTAGACAGTGAAACGCATCGAGGCATGCGCAGAAAAAGTAGACAGTGAAATGCATAGAGGCATGCGTAGGGCAAGTACAGAGGGTAGTGCATAGATGCATGCGCAGGGACGTTGACAGTGAAACCCAAAAGGCATGTGCAGGGAGAGTACACAATGAAATGCATAGAGCATGCGCAGGGAAAGCATGCGTAGGGCAAGCGCCGAGAGAAATGCGTAGAGGCATGCGTAGGGAGAGCGCGCAGTGAAATGCATGGAGGCATGCGCAGGGAAAGTACAAAGTGAGGTGCATAGTGGCATGCACAGAGTAAGCAGTGAAATTCATAGAGGCATGCATAGATGCAACGCACAGGGGAAGTAGACAGTGAACTGCATAGAGGCATGCGCAGAGTAGACAGTCAAATGCATAGAGGCGTGCGCAAGGAAAGTACAGTGAAGTGCATAGTGGCATGCACAGAGTAAGCAGTGAAATTCATAGAGGCATGCGTGAGGCAAGTACAGAGTGAAGTGCATAGATGCAACGCACAGGGGACGTAGACAGTGAACTGCATAGAGGCATGCGCAGAGTAGAGCCAAATGCATAGAGGCATGCGCAGGTCAAGTACAGAGTGAAGCGCAAAGAGGCATGCAAGGGAAAGTACAATGATTGGCGTAGAGGCATGCGTAGGGCAAGCGCAGAGTGAGATGCATAGATGCGTGCGCAGGGAAAGTAGACAGTGAAATGCATAGAGGCATGCGCAGAGTAGACAGTGAAATGCGTAGAGGCATGCGTAGGGCAGGTGCAGAGTGACTTGCCCAGATGCATGCACAGGGAAAGCAGACCGTGGTAGACAGTGAAATGCATAGAGGCATGCGCAGAGTAGAGCCAAATGCATAGAGGCATGCGCAGGTCAAGTACAGAGTGAAGCGCAAAGAGGCATGCAAGGGAAAGTACAATGATTGGCGTAGAGGCATGCGTAGGGCAAGCGCAGAGTGAGATGCATAGATGCGTGCGCAGGGAAAGTAGACAGTGAAATGCATAGAGGCATGCGCAGAGTAGACAGTGAAATGCGTAGAGGCATGCGTAGGGCAGGTGCAGAGTGACTTGCCCAGATGCATGCACAGGGAAAGCAGACCGTGGTAGACAGTGAAATGCATAGAGGCATGCGCAGAGTAGAGCCAAATGCATAGAGGCATGCGCAGGTCAAGTACAGAGTGAAGCGCAAAGAGGCATGCAAGGGAAAGTACAATGATTGGCGTAGAGGCATGCGTAGGGCAAGCGCAGAGTGAGATGCATAGATGCGTGCGCAGGGAAAGTAGACAGTGAAATGCATAGAGGCATGCGCAGAGTAGACAGTGAAATGCGTAGAGGCATGCGTAGGGCAGGTGCAGAGTGACTTGCCCAGATGCATGCACAGGGAAAGCAGACCGTGGTAGACAGTGAAATGCATAGAGGCATGCGAACGGAAAGTAGACAGAGTGAAGCGCGTAGAGGCATGCGTGCCACGAAATCTGCGCCTGCGCTTGCAAAAGCGCTGCGCCTGCCACCCGCCTGAAAGTGGAAAAGTCGGGTTGCAGGCTCGAAGCCCCCTGCCAGGTATGCCGGCTCGGGTCTTCCGCCTGAACAAGTTGACAAGCACCATGGCTTTCGGCCTCAAACATGGACCTTGGCTTCCTTGAAGCTGAAAAACGCCATGAACTAGAAGGGAATGACAAGGTGTCAAGGTGTTCCATGCAAGACTGGCAAAGGTCTTCAACATGACGGGACCTGAGAAGCGAAAGTCACGGGCGAAGCCCAAACCGCCTAGACACTACAACGGTGCACAAAGGACACCATTTCCAAGACGGGCTGTCCAGACGTTATTTAAGAACCGGTTCCGGCACGGAGAGGTAATAAGAGCTGACCCCGGCACAGCACGGTTTTTTGGCTGCAAAGTTGGGGGATGCGAGGCTGCATGACCCTACAATTTGCTTGCCATGCGCGACAAGACCAAACAAGTTTGAGCCAAATCGATATGGTTTTTCCCAGAAGAACCATCCACGACCCCAAGTAAAACGTGAAACATGGTTGAAACTCAGCCTACCAAGAAGCAAGGACATGATTTCGACATGTCTCATTTCAATTTCTAAAGGTGTGCCTGCGTTATCACTGAAAAGTCCAAGAATGTGATGGTTGGAAAAAAAAGTGGGGGCTAGAATGCAGCAAAAGCACAGCGCCGCTGGCGCAATTTTCCATTTGATCATTGCGCACGCCACCGCATGCACGCATGAATGGCGTACCGCTCGAGCGTGTGACGGGACATGTGTCGAGGGTGCGCTCTTTGAGCAAGAGTCTTTGCTCTGAACACAAAATCCTCATCCAAGTAATTTGCACTATGGCGCAAATTCCGGGGCAAAGTCATGTATATGGCATGCCCCAGCATGTGGCATTTCGGACGAAGATGCCACCTGAAAAGACCGCCCTGGGACGCTTCGCGCGCCAATGTGTCAGCGCACGCACGATACGTGAGATAAGCTCTCTCAAGCTCAGCGCAAGCTTGCGGTGACATGATCCGAGGCTCCTTGGCCATGATTACTTCCATGCAGGCCAGTGCGCCGATGCACCCTTGACGGTGTGGAGCATGGCCAAACTGACGTGTGACACTTTGCGCCAAGCTTGACGCCCAGAGCAACATATAGCGAGCTGCCGTCGCTGACAATTGTCTCTGTGATGGTTCTGGAAACTTGCCAGGGGCCGGCTGCAAGTACTTCGATGTAAACAATTTTCTCGCAGCACGGTCACGGACGCCTTCGGATTCGCACCAAGCCCTGTACATGTCGTACAGCACTGCTAATCTAGAGTCACGGCTGTTGCCTGCCAGAAAGCCTTTGTCGGTGTAGTCCAGTAGGAGGCTGCAAATTGCGTCTGGGGCCAGAGCCAAATGCGTGATGTGCATGACGTCCGGGTAGATACCTGGGCCGGCGATGAAAAAGCACACAAGGTGTATGTGCTTAAACTTATATCGTTTTTTGTACATACACCTAGGCATAAACACACATGCGCGCATAACATATATATATAGAGAGATCAATGCGTTTTCCGCCAAGTCTCGTGATGGGTCAAAGCCCTCAATTGTTGTCAGGGGGGATCGCCCATGCAATTGTTCGAACTCGTCTTTTGTCACAATCCTTAGGTCGCAGAAAGAGGGGCACCTTTTCAGCCTGTCATCTCAACGCGTTGCATTTGAATTTCCCAAAGAACGCAACCAGATCCGCAGTTTGTTGCTGTCTAGGCTCGGGGTATCCCTTTCGTGAGGTCCATACACAGTGAACAGTTTGTTAACATCATTTTCCTCCAGTGTTGGCCGATCTGTAACCCACCGCAGGCAATCCTTACGATGGGGCCCAGCAACCCATTGATTCGCAACTGCAAACTTGGACACGCAACTCGATTCCAAGGTTCGCAGTAAAAGCAGCACATCTTTTTCCCAGCGTGCCTTGTGAGGTTGAAGACGGCCCTGACGTAATCCTGGTCCATTTGAACTCCTTCCAAAATTGCCCGCCAACCATTTGCCAAAATCGGTTGGCCGGCTCTTTGCATCCGCGCATCATCAAGGGGCGACCCCCAAGGATCAGTGTGTGGATGGATGCCAGCGCCTGTCAGTCACCCTTTTAAACCGCTTCGA